CCACCCACCGAGGTACATGCCCTTAACGGGAACTGAACCCGGGTCTCTCAGGACCACAGGCCAACACTCTAACTGCTAAGCCAAACCGGCCAGGGCAGTGGACTACTCTTAACAGGGGAGGATGTATCTTTTTAAGGTTGTGAGTTTGCACTGATTTTTAATATTTAATTTTATTCTTTCTTGTTTTGTATTTATTTATTTTTAATCCTCATCCGAGGACATTTTTCCATTTTTTGTACAGATAGAGTAGGAGGGAGAGAGAGGAAGAGAGAGAGAGGGAAACATCGATGTGAAAGGGACACATCGAGTGGCTGCCACCCACACGACCAACCAGGGCCGGGGACAAACTGCAACCGAGGTACATGCCCTTAGCGGGAACCGAACCCGGGTCTCTCCAGACCGCAGGCAGACGCTCTAACCGCTGAGCCAAACCGGCCAGGGCTTTTGTGTTTATTTTTTATTTAACTTATTATTCTCTACTTTTCTCATAGTGTCAACAACTAAGACTTTTGACTGCATTTCATAACATAAGCTTTTATTTGGGGGAAAAAAAAAAAAGAAGTCTTGAAACTTAAAAGAAAATATATGAAAACACCCCACCAGACTACATGGTATTTAAAGTGAATATTATCACCATCGTCTTTTATGATTCCCTGCATGAGGATAATCTAAGCAGAATTGCTTAGTAAGAACAAATCCAGGTTTTGTAGTACCTAAAGCTTATATAATTTAGGGATCACTTTTGAAGAAAAAGAATTTTGTAGCCATTTCATCTGGAATCACTACATTTTAAAATGTGTCACCCTGGCTGGATAGCTCAGTTGGTTAGAGTGTCGTCCCGATACACCAAGGTTGTGGGTTTGATCCCTGGTCAGGGCACATACAAGAAGCAACCAATGAATGCATAAATAAGTGGAACAACAAACTGACATTTCTCTTTCTCTCTTCCTCTCTCTAAAACCAGTCAATAAATAAAAAATCTTTAAGATGTGTCAGACATGCCAACATGTGATCTGATGTGTTGACATACATAGATATGCAAGTTTGCTCTCAGAAGCACTCACTATTTGTGGGTTGCTGTAAGTTTGTAATTATATTCATAGAAATAGTGAAAATATTTGTTTTGTAGGAGTTCCATAAAAAATACATGTGACATGTTTATAGTTGTATACATTGCAGTATACAGCTTATTTCTGACAAAATAGAAATTCCATCTTGATTAGGACACAATGAGGTCAAATCTTCCACTTAATTTTACGTGTCCAATAATTGGAAGAATTCTCCATAGAGCACCTTCTGGCTCTGTCTCTCTCCATGTTTGTAACATAATGTAGCCAGAGGAGTCACAGAGTGCATACCTGAACTCTCATGGAAGAAAGTGTATCCTAGGGGGCAACCAGTAACCTAAATATACAGAGCAGTAACTGATAACCACACCAGTATATCCCGCTAAATCCACACCAGATGTGTCTCCAACTCAACTTCCCCTTACCTGGATCTTCAAAATACTTCTGACCACTCCAGTGTCTCCCAACAGGATCGAAAATAGGAGGGCGAGAAAGTAGTAGTGGAAAGAAAAAGCTATCTTAAACAATTGTAATTAAAATATATAATAACGTTTGCAAAGTTTACAAAAATATAAGTACATGTGAATATGTTGCTGGAGCCTCTCCTAGACCTTGGAAGGGGCCTGAGCAAGGGCTCTAAAGCCTAAGATGCATTATTTCACGATCAATCTGCAGATTGTCACTTACCCCATGGCATAATTCAAATGCATGACGTGAAAAGATTTTAGAACAATTATAATTTTTGTAAGCATATTTTAAAAATATGAGCATTGTTATAAATCATTGGAGAATATGCTTAGCAATGTTGTAAAATGTACTGAATATTTTAAGTTTGATATTTTCATGGTGATGGGGTGAGTTAAGAAATTTGGGTTTCTGAGAATGAGCTCTTGAGTAGCTAAATTAATTTACCCAACATTTTAAGTTGGTAAAAACAATATATCTTATTTGTGCATCCTAAATGTATAATGATGTTTACATGTAACTTACCCTTTATTTCATTTAATTAAATAAAATTATTTATGCACCAAGATCATTGCCCACCATAAGAAAAGGTTAAATATGTTAGTTGCATCCCCTTATCTTCTAACTAAATTTAACAAAGATGTCAGCTGCGTACTATTGTGCCAAAAGTTATGCTAAATTGTCTAATTAAGGAAATATAATTTGTTTATTTATTTAAGATATAAAGTAACTCAGAGTTTGAAAAAAATCCAGCAAGTGCACATTTAAGTTTCAAGCTATAACAGGCAGGAATTTTAGAAAATATATAACATTATCTCTCTGCTTGAGGAGTTTGCAGCTTTGCTGCCACAATTTGAGAGTAAAACCATATGTGCCCTGGCTGGTTTGGCTCAGTGGTTGAGCATCGGCCTGTGGACCAGAGTCCTGGGTTCGGTTCCCGCTAGGGGCATGTACCACAAAAAAAAAAACAAAAAAACAAAGAAAACCCATATGTAAATAAGTGCTCTGTTGTCTTAGGTACCAGTAGGTAGGCAGTGGTAAGGTGACCTGGAGTGGTCATATAGACTGAACTGAATTTTAATGAATGGAAGTAGTTTGGATACATAATGAAAAAAGAGAACTTCCTGGGAGAGGAGCTATTTTCTCATGCACAAGCAGAGCAAGTAGATTTTTTAAGTATTTTGAAATTTAACATACAGATTGTGGCATTTGCTGATGCCCTGTTAAGTTACGCAACCATTCCTTAAGAGGTGTTTTACTTAGGTCGTGTTCCAAATCTCCTTTAGAAATTCAGAGGACTCAGAAAAAGGAAAACAATCTTGAAAAAGAAGAACCAAGTTGGTCAAGGTTGTGCTTCAGCCCCTTAGCCCGTTAGGTCTTCAACGTCCACCGCCGGGCGTGTGCGCGGCTTGGAGGCGGCGGCACAGCTGTTTCCCGCGTTGCCCAGGCACCTTTTCAGCCAGGAGCCCAGCAGCTGGGAGGTTCCTTCTCTGACTGCTCCTCAGAGGTGTTGGGAAATATAATTAAAAACAAAATCTTCCCCAACCCAGAAAACTCCACAGAGGTAGTAAAGAAAACAGCTTTATTACTAAAGAAACATTAAGCCAGAAGGTGATGTGCACCAGAAGCAATCCACGGGCAGAGAAGGGTCCTCACCCCTTTCTCTTGCCAAGCAGAGACAAGGACGGGCGACAGGTCTGCCTGCTTTCTCCCGTCTCCTTTGTTTATGTTTCAGAAGACACCAACAGGCATCCTCAAACTAATTAAATTTCCTAAAATGATCTGCTGTGGGTTTGGGCAGATCAGAGACGTTTCCAACAGAAGAGGTGACGGGCAGCACTTCTGCCTGTGGGCAATTTCTGCAAGTTCCACAGTCACAGCGTTCTTGGGCGTCAAGTCTGACTGCTGTATTATGGTCCACTTGTTGGAGATCCTGGTCAAGGGATAAACGTCACATGATATGATTTACCTTTGATGTTAAAAAGTGTCTTCCTATTAGAATTGATCATTTATCAGCTGCATCTAGACGTGCAAACTACCTGTGGGACAAGGCTGTTTTTACTTAATCATTTGCAATGCAGTTTATCTGCGAACCTCAAGCATCAGAATCCCACCCCTTCTGTAAGTGAGGCTACAATGCAAATTCCTTGCCCGTGCCCCAGACCTCCTGAATCAGAATTAGGTGGAAAGAGATGGTGCCCAGGGATCTGCAAGTTTCATAAATTCTCCTGATGATACTTAAAACTCAGGTTTGAAAACCGCCATGCTAATGCGTTGGAAAGAATTCCTCTCTAATTATCCTGCTGAAAGCACAGGGTAGGTCAACACAACTTAGTAGGGTGGATCTGACATCATTATGCTGAAAACAAAATGTGCTTCACCAAATCATTGGCCTTATAGTAGATAATCCTTACAGTCACTTCATTTGAATATCTTCCTCAATTTCTGTGCTTGAATTTATTTTTGAGTGATTGTGAAAACACATTTTGTGGTATTTCTGCTTATTTTAAGCTGCTACTTAATTAAAATTAATAAAGTCAGTTGATTCCCTTTTTAATGTTCCAAAAGCGTATACTAGCTTAGTTTAATTTAATGTCAATTGGAGACACAGTATACAAGAATTTCTCTGATTATAAACCACTACCTCCCCTGCCAAAAAAAAAAAAATCCCTCACACTATAAACGTTTTAAAACTCTTATTTGATGACCATGTTCATACATCCCTTTAATGAATTTTAATCTGTTAAATTATCAATACATTTTTAATTATGTAAGTACACATAACATAAAACTACCATCTTAATCATCTTTAAGTGTACAGTTTGGTAGTGTTAAATATATTCACATTATTGAGCAACCAACTTCTGGAACTTTTTCATCTTCCCAAACTGAAACTGTGTCCCCATTAAACAACAGCTCCCCATTTCTCTTTCCCCCCGGGCACTGGCAACCACAATTCTACTTTTTGTTTCTATGAATTTAACTGCTCTAGAGACCTCAAGTAAGTGGATTCATAGAGTACTTGTCTTTTTGGGACTGGCTTATTTCACTTAGCATATTGTCCTCAAGGTTTTTCCATGCAGTAGCATGTGTCAGAAGTTCCTTTTCTTCAAGGAAGTGAATAATATTCCACTATATGTATATATACCACATTTTGTTTATCCACTTATCCATCAATGGATAACTGACTGCTTCTGCTTGTTGACTATTGTGAATAACGCCGCTATGAACATGGCTATACAAACATCGCCACAAGACCCTGCCTTCGTATTTTTTGGATGTATATACAGAAGTGGGATTGTTGGATCACATGATAATTCTATTTTTAAAAATTTGAGGAACCACCATTCTGTTTTCTGTTGTGGCTATACCATTTTACATTCCCTCCAACATGGCACAAGGGTTCCACATCCATACCAACACTTGTTATTTTCAAAGATCACCCATGTTTCGATTTATTCTTTCTAGGGATCTTCACTAGCAACGTGTTTTGTTGAGATAAGAGTGCTGGGACAAGGTGAAGTTTTTGTAAGTTTTCTTAGTTTATTATTACAATTATATTTTAAGTTTCATAGCTTTATTTAAATAAGTATTAGAATTACATAGAATTCATGTTTTCTGTATCACACAAGGTCTATAAAATAACCATCGTAATTTATGTTGCACTGAAAATAAAAAGCAAACATTTATATATTGCTTTATATATGGTTTGCAGTTTACAGTGGGTCTTTATAGGTTTTATAATAATTCCATACTGATTCTCTACAGCTGTAGTCTTTTTAAAATGCAAATCTGATCCTTTAACTCTAATTTAAGGGGTTTTAATAATTTTCCAATGCCCACAGAATAAAATTAAACCTCCTCACAATGGCAAACCATCCACTCTAGCCTCATCTCTTGTTGCATCTCCCTCCCCACCCAACACTTCAGCCAACTCAAAGTGCGTGTAGTTTCCTGACTACCACACCATAACGTATCTTTGAGTATTTATTTATGTGGTTACCTCTGGCTGGAACACCCTTCTCAACATCACACTCCAGATTCACTGGGGAAAATAGCTCATACTTTACCTAGACTTAGCTCAAGTGTCACCTTTTCTGTGATGCCTGTCCTCTCTCTCTCATGGTATCCCTGGATGTCCTTCCCCTCACCCTCTCACCAGGTAGGAGTGACCTTTTCTTTCTGCCCACTGTGGCCAGACCGGTTTCCTGTACAGCACCGACACATTTGACTACACTGCTTCCTATTCATGTCTGTCTCTCTTTCTAGACTGTGGGCTCCTTGAGGGCAGAGTCTGAGCCCAGTTTAACTCTAATATATCTCCAGTGGCACTTAGTAGGTACTTAACAAATGTATATTGAATGGGTAATTGAATAAATGAATGGTTGAGTGGGTAGATGGATGGGTGGATGGGTGGGTAAGTATATGCCAGGATGGGGGAGGATAAGTATTAATGTTCCTAAAATATTAAAAGTGATTAAATGAGCTGCCTAAGGTTATACCATAATAATTTAGGGACTAAATATCAAATTCAGATTTTCTAACCTAATGCTTTTTCCCTCTACACAGTGTTGCCTTCTAAATTTAAAATTGTAATCTTAAAAACATTGCATAAGAGGACAATGCATTTATTTAAATGGTTGAGCAGTTTTAAACAGGTGGATAAAGTGAATCTGATTCCATTTAATTGGGTTTCTGTTTTGTGATGCTCCTGCTTTATCTTATTTATGAAAAATTTTGTTAAAATTCAACCAAGGCTCCATATGATTTTGTTAATAGTGTCTTGATATTAATATAAATATCCAAGAAGTTAAAAACATTTGCAAAATTTCCCTTCAAAGTTTATCTCACAATATTTTTTTCTATGGGCATCCCAGTAGTAATGAAAATAGCGTGGATATTGGACCCAGAGACACTGGCCTGCAGTGGCTTTTGGAACTGTCACTCCTAGTTGTGTGACCTTATCCAAGTCACCTCACCTGTATAAGTCTCAGTTTCCTCACCTACAAAATGAAAAGAATTATATTCACATCATAGAATTGCTGTGAGGTTTAAGTGAGAAAATATATGCCCAGTGCCTGGCACATGTTAGGTATGCAAAACATGCCAATCCCCTCCTTACATTAATTCAGGTTATTTAAAAAAATAGATTTTTCATGTTTATTTTTTTTTCAGACTGCAATGAGATCAATTCAAATGTGGGTCTTGTGTTCCAGAGGAGGCTAAGGTTTCTTGAAGGCAAAGATCATCTCATTTATCTTTCTCACAGTTTCTCACACATTTTAAATAAAGATTTCCTGATTGCTAATCATTTCCATCAGGCAGGTATAGAATACCTTCAATAACTTTTATGGATTATCATTTACTATATTCAAAAGAAGAAATGCCTTTGTTTCTAGAACTTCAGGTGGTCACCAGTGAAGGAAGGTGACTGATCAGGGCCTTTGCATGTTGTGACTGTGCAATGTCTCTGTGGATGGGGCTCGAGTGGAGAATCAGAAGCAAAGCTCATCTGGCCTCACATTATCTGGCTTTTTACACTGACTCCATTCTTGGTGAGCTCTGGAGGAAGGAGGCTTAAAATTAAATTATAGTCTCCTCAGAGCCTGCTATTAGAAGTCTAATATACATGGCATCTGATTTTTTATTTTTCAAATATGTAATTAAAACAATCATTTAAAATAAATATTTACATATTCCCTCACAGTCTAGACAACTATTAATTTGCTCTTGTGAACCGAAACGATTCTGTCCTTCAAGTCCCAGCTCAGGTCCCACTATCAGCAGAAGTACTAATTATTCATTTTTGCCATTAGGAAAATTTCTTACAGCTTAACAAAAATAGATGATGTGCCTTGGATATGTTAAGTTTCAATGGGTGGTGTGGCTCATTCCTTATGAATATATGATTCTCAGCTTTATATTTATTTTAGGATCCTGTAAACATAGTTTGGATTCCCACTGTATCTGACTCCTGGAAAACCATGTGTTGGTCCATTGCTACAGCAGAGTTAATTTACTGACTAGACTCTTCTTAATATAATTGATAAAGAGGTACTTTTTATTTTTAGTGACTGAGGTTCTCTTACAACTTTAGGGCCTGGCAGAAACATTGGACAAGTCATGTGATCTTCATTCGTACCTGGTAGGAGCATGGCCTTTTCCCCAGAGTGGCGCCCGAGTCATTCTTAGCAAAGTCTTCTGCTTTGTCCATTGGGTCAGGAGCCCACAGCCAGAAGTTTCTAGCAGCATTTCACAAGGTAGAAATCCAAAGAGGAGGATGACCTCATGAGAATCGAAAGCTTCAGGTTCAGAATTATAGAAATAATTTAAATAGAATTAACTGTTTAAGTTTTGCCTTGTAATTTTATTTGGTCTCCTTTTTATTTTTTATTTTTTTTATTTTTTTAGGAGTAAATACCTTTTTTCATTTGCTGTTTTCCATGTCAGGATTTACGCCAGGTTAATTGAAACCTTAAAGAGACTTGGGCTTTTCTTTCACTTTTTGAGATTCACAAGTTTTACAATCCTATAAAGGAAGATTATTTAGACAAGGGAGTTTTGAAACTCACATAACCAGAGCCTGGCCCATGGGATCCGTGCAGAATGAGTTTTCAGAGCTGCTCGCTCTGAGGCTGACCCCTGCCTGCCCGAGCGGGGTTGGCAGTGGAGACCTTGGTACTGGAGGTACAGGGACAACTCGAGAAGGAAAGTCCCTCAAATAATGAGAGACTGCATTTCAGGCACATCTGACCTAAATATCCTGTTTTCCTCTTTTAAAATCTTAGAGGGTTCTAATTCACACCCACTCTGCTACAGAAAATATGTAAGAGGCCCTTATGTCTGATACACTGGCATTGGACAATGGCAATTTTATAAAGAACACAAACTATAAAGCCAAAAGAAAATACCTTGCTGAACCTTGGGAGAGACAGACATTCTGAATAACTGAAGGGAGAATGAAGTCTAATGTGAGAAAGGGACCAGTCTCTTGCTCACGACTCTGTCCCGGGCACACAGGGGCCCACCTAAAACACAGGAGTGTGCATGCAGTTGTGTTCAGAGGCAGAGAACCTGACTCACTAGAAGAGGAAGATCTGGGCAGATACTGTGTGTTACTGAGGGAGATTAACCGTTACATCAGACCCACACACCTTGCTACTTGAAAATTGTTATGAAACTATCCATCTGACATATAAGCTGTGCATAGCTTATCCCATTTAGGGTTCGTATTTTCTTAACTAATCCTTTTATAGTTCCAAATAATCCTTTTATAAGCCGAATCCCTTACGGTTTAATAAGGAGAGATGTCAGGACTACATGGGCCCAAATGACTTTCACAGTTGCCGTCCTGGGTCCCAGACGGGGCGACCAGTCAGCGCTCCTCAGATGCACGCACATCCATGTGGACTGATGAGGCCCTTGGGCGGGGTAGAGGGGCCCGTTACTCTCTCAAATCCATGTTTGACCCTCAACTACATTTCCTTCTGAATTAAACAACTGAAAATGAACATGTTTATTCTCTCTTCTAGATTAGTGAAGGAGTGGAGTGCGTTTTTATTCCCAAACACTTGTTTCTAGCAGAAGCCAGCGCTGAATTCAGGAGAACTGCGCCGGAGCGGGCGTGTGGCTACCCCAGCGCGGAGGCCGTTAGGGAGGACGTGGTGGAGCAGCGCGCCTGGGCTGAGTACAAGGCCGGCGTCCTGGCTCGGCAGCTGAGGATCCGGAGCTGACCCCCTGGCGCAGCTCAGTTTTATTTGTAATGAAAAACCTTAAAAGAGATTGAAAAACACAGTTGGAAGGTTACTTTAATATGCTCTCAGAAATGCCTCCGTAGAGGTCAGGGCGTAGGGTTTAGTTATCGCTTAAATAAATGATGCCACACCCTACCTTGCTCAGAGCTCCAGCTGGTAACTTCCTCGTGCTGGAGACCATAACTGAAACTTGATAAGATATATTATTGTTTGTCAGTGAATGGTGTGTTTAAGATTTCGTAAAGTGGTATCATTTCACATTGGAAAATTTTCTCAATTATTTGTTAGTGATAAAAGCAGTCCAGCCCTCTGAGTGGCTCAGTTGGTTAAGTGTTATCCTGTGTACTGAAAGGTTGCCAGTTCGATTTCCAGTCAGGCCACATACCTGGTGGGTTCGATCTCCGGCTGGGGCACATATGGAAGGCCACTGATTGATGTTTCTCTCTCTCTCTCTCTCTCTCTCTCTTCCTCTCTCTAAGCATGTCCTTGGGTAAGAATTATAAAAAAAAAAAAAAAAAAGCAGTCCATGAAACTATGACTAATATGATTTCAATAAAATGTATATTCATTGTTACAGCACAGTCAGTGACACAGCATTTTATCCGTGGTGATCTGTGAATGATGCAGTTTTTGGTGTTTTAAACTTTTCTTCTTTGGGTATCTTTTAATTACAAAAAAAAGTGTTTGAAATTCCAGTTCTGCCTAGGTAATGCTTCTGTGAGATGAACTTTGCAGATTTTGAAGACTAACAGTAAATAAAGAGGGGGAAGCTCCTAAGGGGAGCCTCGCCGTAGATGAAAGCCGTGTGTGGTCTTGGCGAAGTTCAGATGGTGCTTCACGAGATGCTTTAGCAGAAGCCTGCTGATGCCCCCACCTCGCATACCTCAGCCCACATCCGATTTCAGCTATGTGGCTCTGGCAGGTTTGGGCATTTTGTGGGTAAATGCCTCAGCGTCCCAATCTTTGGTTTCTGAGGTGTATTCAGCACAATTCCTCAGAAGGTCCCATATTAGTCCTGTTGTTTTGTAACAAATTACCTTAAATTTGGTGGCTTACAATAACACATTTTTTTTTTAATCCTCACCCGAGGACATTTTTTCCATTTTTTTGTTCAGGTAGAGTGGGAGGGAGAGAGAGGAAGAGAGAGAGAGAGAGAAACATCGACGTGAAAGGGACACATCGAGTGGCTGCCACCCTCACGACCAGCCAGGGCCGGGGACAAACTGCAACCGAGGTATATGCCCTTAGTGGGAACCGAACCCGGGTCTCTCGGGACCGCAGGCTGATGCTCTAACCGCTGAGCCAAACGGGCTAGGGCCACATTTTTTTTTTTTTAATCTTCACCCGAGGATATTTTTCCATTGATTTTTTTAGATAGAGAGGGAGGGAGGGAGGAAAGGAGAGAGAGAGAGAGAAAGAGAAAGATCGATGTAAGACATGGGTTGCCTCCTACAGAACCCCAACCAGGGCTGGAACCTGAAACTGAGGTACGTGCCCTTGACTGGGAATCAAACCCAAGCCTCTTCAGTCTGAGAGCCCACATTCTAACTGCTGAGTCGAACCTGCCAGAGCAATAACACATTTCTTGTTTCACAGTGTCTGTAGGTCAGGGATCAGGGAGCAGCTTAGCTGGGTGGTTCTGGCCCAGAATCCTTCACGAAGCTGCAATCAGTGTGTTAGCCAAGTCTGCAGTCACCTCCAACTCACTCAAGTGGTGTTGGCAGGAGGCTTCACTCACCACGTGGACCCCTTTCGAAGGCTCCTCACTGTATGGCTTCCCCCAGAGTGGGTGGTCTGAAAGAGAGGGCTGGTGCCCCCAGTGGAAGTGGTAGTCTTTCTTATGACCTAATCTCAAGAGTGACAGACCATCACTTCTGCTCTTTTAGTCCCAGAGACCCACCCTGGTAGAGTGTGGGAGGACACTCCACACAGGTGAGTCAAGGAGGCAGGGGTTGTCGGGGCTCCTCTTGGCCACCACAGGTCACCAGCAGTGTTGGTCCCAGGTGCCGACAGTGGGAGATCGGCCGATAGCATTCCTGTGTGTCCTCTCCCTTTCCTGTGCCGTCCCTCCCATTTCCTCAGTCTGCCTCCTAAGACATCTTCCCCGGCACGTCCCCGCCCCCAAACCGACCTAAACTAAACCTGACTCAGGTTCTCATTTCACAGGGACCAAAACAAGCGAACTCCTTGTTCATTATGAAAAACACCACTCAGAGACTAACTTGAACGTTTTTTTTTTATCCTCACCCGAGGACATTCTTGCATTTATAGTCAGATACAGTGGAAGGGAGAGAGGGAGGAAGAGAGAGAGAGAAACATTGATGTGAGAGAGACACATTGACTGGCTGCCACCCACCAATCCCAACCGGGGCTGGGGACAAACTGCAACCGAGGCACATGCCCTTAGCAGGAACCAAACCCTGGACTCTGGTCCACGGGCAGATGCTCCAACTGCTGAGCCAGACTGGCCAGGGCTAACTTGAACTTTTTTAGTTGAGAAAACAACTGCCCTACTTCAAATTTTTAGCATTTTATTTGGAAATAATTTAAAACATAAAGTTTCAATAATTGTATAAAGAGCTCCTGTATATCTTTACCCAGATTCACCGATTTTTCCTTTTTGCCTCATTTACTTTCATTTTCAAAGGCCTAAATTCTCAACCTTATTAAAATACCCAGTGTCATTGTGCTTTGCTTTTATTCTACATTTACAATATGATTTAATTTTATTTCATTTTCATTTAATTTGTGCTTTATCTTTGGGGTAGTCCCTACATCTCTTTACATTGTTTTACTCATCTAAAAAGTGAAGATAATGGAGGGAAAAATGGCGGCGGAGTGAACGGAGCTACACAGACCGTCTCCCAGAACCAAACTGGAATTACAACTATAACACAGACAAATCGACGGAAAAAAACAACAGAAAAGCAGCTTGGAGGACCATACAACGCAGGACACTGACTCCATCCCGGTAGGATTGCGAAGGCGCGAGACGGGGCTGGGAGCGCACGGTCGGCAGCTCGGCAGCGGCCTTAGCTGTAAGCGGCGCCCGCGGGTTACACTCCCAGGCGGCCCCACAGCGCAGCCGGGACAGAGGCTGAAACAGCCACAGCCACTCACCTTGGGCTCCGGCGGAGGGAGGGCAGACTGGACTGGAACTGTGTCGGGACACTCGGGGTTTGGAGGGCGCTCAGAGCTTTGGCTGAGTGCAGCCACTCAGGACGGTAGCCACATTGCTCCTTCCCAGGGCTCTGAGAGAGGCAGCAGCCCCTCCCTCGGAGATCCAACCCCACCCTGTGGGCCATTGAAGTGCTAATTGAGGCTCACTAACAACCAGCATCTGCCCCACCCTCGTGAAAGCCCCTTGGCTGAGCACCAGAGGGAGTTTTTCAATCAACTGACAACCCAAAACTCATCAATTAACCTAGACTGCTAGCCTCCAGGCAAAAAGCTAGAGGATAACAGTACGTTTCCTGGGCTGGCAACTTTAACCAGGAAAGTAAGACTTGACAGTGGTGTTCAACGCGGGTCCTCCCTCGCTCATCTAAACACAGGAGAGGGAGCCACAAACAGCAGAACACCAACACCCACAGGGAGAACTTGACAGGCTCCAAAGCCCACAGTGATAGCTAAAATGGTGAAACACAGAAACAGAAGCCAAATGAAAGAGCAAGACACCTCCACCGAAGATGAGATCAATGTGGAGCAATTAGGCATGTTAACAGAGCTAGAATTCAGAGCCATGATCTTGAGGAAGCTGAACAGCATGAGTAAAGACATAGAGACACTGAAAATAAGCCAAATGGAAATTAAAAACCAACAAGAAGAGATAAAAAATGACATATCCGAAATGAAAAACACATTGGAAGGTTTAAAAAGCAGAGTAGGGGAAGCTGAGGACCGGATCAGTGAATTAGAAGACAGGGTAGAAAAAATCAACCAATCAGAAAAACAAAAGGAAAAAACTATTAAAAAACAGGAAGACAGCTTAAGAGAACTATGGGACAACTGGAAACGTAATAATATTCGTATCATAGGAGTCCCCGAAGAAGAAGAAAAGGAGCAAGGGATAGAGAATATATTCAAAAAAATAGTGAGAGAAAACTTCCCTAATTTGGTGAAGGAAGAAGGCATTCAAGTTCAAGAAGCACAGAGAGTCCCAAGTAAGAAGAACCCAAACAGGCCCACACCAAGACACATAGTAATTAAAATGCCACAAATTAAAGACAAAGAGAGAATCCTAAAAGCAGCAAGAGATAAGCAACAGGTTACCTACAAAGGGAACCCCATAAGGCTTTCAGCTGACTTCTCACAAGAAACACTACAGGCCAGAAGAGAATGGCATGAAGTAATCAAAGTCATGAAAAACAAGAATCTGAATCCAAGACTACTCTACCCAGCAAGGCTATCATTCAAAATAGAAGATCAAATAAAGAGCTTCCCAGACAAAAAAAAGCTAAGGGAATACATTAGCACCAAACCAGCACTGCAAGAAATGTTAAAAGGACTGCTGTAATTAGCAGTAGAAATGGGAAGAAAAATGGAACCACACTAAACAAAAATGGCAATAAATAAGTACATATCAATAATCACCTTAAACGTAAATGGATTGAATGCTCCCATAAAGAGACACAGAGTAGCTGATTGGATAAGAAAGCATGACTCATCTATATGTTGTTTACAAGAGACCCACCTCTCAACAAAAGACTCACATAGGTTGAAAGTGAAGGGATGGAAAAAAATTTTCCAAGCAAATGGAAAGCAAAAAAAAGCGGGGGTAGCAATTCTCATATCTGATAAAATAGATTTCAAAATGAAGGCCATAACTAGAGACAAAGACGGCCACTACATAATATTGAAAGGATCTATCCAACAGGAAGATATAACCTTGATAAACATATATGCACCCAATATAGGAGCACCAAAATATATTAAAAATCTTCTGGAGGACTTCCAAGGAGAAATCGACAACAATACAA